GCTGCACCAATTTGCAGTCCCACCAGCAATGTACAAGTGTACCCTTTTCCCCACATCCTCGCCAGCACTTGTTGTTGACTTCATAATGACAGCCAGATCTTAAAATCAGGTTTTTGCTCCCTTCCTCTATATCACAGCTGCCTCAACCTGTTGTAAATTTTATATTAAACTATATTCATTTAGATTAGTATTTTGCATAATGCTAACTATAAATTCTTTGTTTTTCTCAATGTCTGACTTTGTGGTTGGCAAACAACAAATTATCAAATGAAACTGTAGTCTTTAAGCTTTCTAAAGCCAATAGGCAGGAGTGAGGCCCTCCTAATAGGGTGCTAGCCAGCCAGGAAGGAAGCTGGGGAAAGTTTCCTCCCGGGAGGTAATTAATTCCTATTGGCCTAACACTCCAAGTAACCCTGAGTTTGGAGGTCCCAGGAAAAAGGTGTCTGTTCTTTTTCCTCTGCTCCCCTGGAGAATTTCACAAAAGCTTTTATTCTCATCACCCCTGTAGAGTAAGCTAGTTAGGGCCTCTGCTTGTGTCCAGAGGACCAGATATGAACATATGTAAATGAACTCAAAGTCCATGGATAGCCCAGAAGAAAAACAAATGTAGATTATTATCATTTATGAGCCCAGTGATTAGTAACCTAAATAAGATCTAAAAACCACAACAACAAATCTTAGAGGATAAGAATTTAAATGAGCTCAGTGGTTTAGTAATTTGAAAAAAAGACCTAAGAAGAACAACAACAAAATAATCTTAAAGGAGGACAAGAATTTAAAATGATGTCGTTTAGAAACCCAAATTTATCAGGCTGACACTGAGGGAAAAAAATTGGGCTAAGACATAAGAAATCAGTAAGCCTGTGTCTAGGTTCTGCTCCTGACTCTTTGCTTCTGGGAAAGACACTCAACTTTCTGCCTAGAAGCATGTGCCTAAGGAGAATAAAAGACTAGTGTCATTTACCCAATGACATTCAAATGAAGGCCTTTCTGGTGAGGGTATTCTATTAAGCAAAACCTTTACCAGCCCTTTCTTACTATCCCAGTAAAATAACTGATGCCAGAAATTGGACTCCATGGCTCTAGAGAGGTGGAGAAATGAAGCCCAAAGACAAAAGGATCTATGTTTAAGGGTTAATTGTAATGAACTTCTAGGGCTGGACATAGTGCCTGGCATATAGCAGGTACTCAGAAAATGAATAGATGGTAGATAGACTGATGGAAGATCAGGCCTTCCCCAGTGGTGGTTAAGGACCTCTGGGCAAATGAGGCCTGTGGTTGAGTTCTTATCTACCAATTAGCACTGTGACCTAGACAGATAATGCTATAAGCCTTGATTTCTTTCTGTGTAAAAAAGAAATACCTCTTCAAGGTTGTTATGATTAAATGAGAAAGTGCTCATTTCAGAGTCTAGCACATAAGATGCATACAATAATCATCAGTTATTTTTAGTACTAACATTATGACCACATCCCTCCTCTCCAGACACAAAACAAGGCAGCTCCTAGGTAAGAAACCCACAGGTGAGATTATCTGTTAGCCTCCTAGAGCCTTCGGCCTCTTCTGACTCTATACTTCCTCTTCATCCTGGTTCCCCACAGCAGAAACTGGAGACTCTTCATGAGGTCACAGGCCTTAAAGTGATAACTGGGAGAGTCCATTTTTCTGCCTCCTTTATGCTGAGACCTAACCTAACCTTGGCCTGTGCAGTTGGGGGAAACTGACAGGCCTGAGCACTGCAGCTGATAGGACTCTGGCTTGGCCAACTTACAGCTGGGAACACCATAGCTGTCATTCTTTCTGTAGCCTAGAGGGAGGCTGTAGCCCTCACGAGGGTGGAAGGCTCAGAGCTGGCTATGTGTTGACCAGGAAAATTGAGGGTATTTCTAAATTGCCTCACCGGATCTGCGTGTATTTAAGACATAGAACCTTTAAAAAAATATTTTTTAGATGTTGATGGACCTTTATTTTATTCATTTCTTTATATGTGTTGCTGAGGATAGAACCCAGTGCGTCACACAAGCTAGGCAAATGCTCAACCACTGAGCCACAACTGCAGCCCCTGCACATAGAACTTTTTACTTAGGATCTGGGAGAGAAAGATCTTTATAGTGATCTTTACTGGCGCGAAGGTGGAGCAGACTGGTTACTCTTGTCTCCCAAAGGCCCTTTCAAATTTAAGGGACCTGCTAATATCAGATTTCTTTTGGGCTTTCCTAACAGTGACCCGTTTCCTTTCATGCAGCTTGATGCAGCAGGAAAGTTTGAAAATGTGACCCTGTTAGTGAGTAAATGTATTTGTATTGTTTGTCTCTAAAGACAAACTGACTGTCAAAAAGTGACCAGACAGCCACAGAAATATATGCAACTCTTGAGAAAACGTCAAGAAGCTGCCTTTTGCAAGGTAAGGTTATAATAATGATCCTTGACCAAGGAGTGAGGGACATAAAGTAGTCTAGCCAATATATGCTCATTCGACTTTACATTTTTCAATTGAAAATCATGGGGTGACGCCTCCCTTCTACATTAAGGGGTTGGAACACTTCAGAAGTGTCATAAAAGACATTTGGCTGCCTGCTTCAGGTTACCCAAAGCTGAATTTCCTGCAGGTGGGGCAGGCAGTTCCACTGAGAAAAATATATTTAATGATATTATATTATGGCTTAATAATCGGTATTTATCAAAGGCAAAACCAATAATCTTCCAGAAACTTCATTTCCCAAGCTGCAGAATATCTACAATACTAAACTACACCAATTCCCCCTTGCGGGGAAAAAAAGGCAGTCCAAAACCTGACCCCAATAGGCAAGAGAAAAAAATAACTTCAAATGCAAAACAGCGAGGTACTACCTGCCTCTCCCCAAAACGCCCTGTGGGTGAGGCTGAGAATCTGTAGAGTCTTCCCTCTCAATATATTTTCATCTAGAAGAAATCTCTATGCAACCCCATGCTTTTGTCTCCTGCAAGTTTATAAGCAGCGTTAGTGACCACCAGAGACGAAACGCTAATTACCAAGACTCTTTTGATCTCTGGGGCCATTTGGCCCGGACACAAGCTCCAGTATAGTTTCCAGCGAGTCCAGAGCCTGCGAGTCCGAGGATGAATCTACAGTTAACATACCAGCCTAGGTCTGGATCAGACATTCTAAACTTTCCACGGACCCTCCCCCATTTTAAGGAAGTACGAACTGTTGGTGCTGCTGCCTTAGTGTGCTGCTAAAAGAAAAGAAGCCCAGCACTTTTCTTTGAATTCAGGGGACAGATTAGGGAAATAAGTTTTTAAAACTGTCCCATGTCCACTGACTCTCTCCCTTCCCCACCTTCTTCCTTCGATTCGTTTGTGCAAGTTTCTTCTTTTTTCCTGACACCATAATGGGATTCGCAGTGGTTTGTATAACGAACAAAAGTCACTGCCAAGAGAAGCGACTAGAACAGATCACTAAAAGCAGACGGAGAGGGGTGGGTAAGAGGTGGCTTCGGAGGAGGATAATGGGAAGCCGGTCTCCTTCCCATCTGGTCTCCAAAGCCCCCTTCATCTTCCAGGTAAAATGAATGTCCCTTCATCCATCATCCGCAGTGAACACCCTCCCCCAGGCGAGCCGACAATCTTCTCTCTGATTAAACCTATTAGCCCCGAGCTAGGCGGCTTTGTGGAGCCAACTGAGGCTCTCCATTGTGGCCTTTGTCCGCGGAATTTAAGCATTTACATAATGCATTAGCACGGAACTCAGCACAGGGTCGGGACATCGCGTGGCCAGTTTATCAGCAGCTCCCTCACATGGCGACTCCCGGGGACCACCCTCGCGGATGCGCCTGGTTCCGGCTGCAGACGCATAGTGTTTAGCCTCTTCGTAGGCACTTCAGGATCGCTGCGCTTTAAGAGAAATCGGTAACGTTTCCGTGAGTAAACCAAAGCTTGGGCCGTGTGACCCTAACGCCAGGAAAAAACTAGACATGAATCCTCCTTTCCTGGTGGACGTTGGGACCTCACGGTTTTTCATGCTGACGGTTGGACTGCCGCGCGCTAAACGGCCACTGGTACTGTGGAGCGCAGAGGGTCCTCGAGTTCCAATCGCCTGCGCTGGGATCCTGACTCGAGGGTAACAACCCCATCCACCCGTGTTCTTCCTGAAAGCACCAGGGATTCAGGACACTTTAAAGGGGCGGGGGAGATATCATTTTGAGAAAGAATTTGCAGGCTTTCCAGGAGCGCACACTTGGCAGAGTGAATGCAAACTCTTTAGGAAGCCAACGTCTCTGGGTATCCATCCCTTCAGAAGGAGTGGTCCTACTCAGAAATCGCGCCCAAGGAAACTTTCCACTGAGGAAGATTCCGAAGTTTTGAGAACGCGCCCCAGTCTCAGGTGCAGGATCTGCCGCGTGGCCACGCCTTCGGCCTCTAAATCGGCCGCCTAAAGGCCAGAGTACTTCGGGCTTCAGTGCAAGACAGAACCCACGGCGAAAGGGGGAAAAGGTGCAGAACGTGAGAGCTCTGACTCTGCCCGCGGGCTTCCAAAGAACCCTGGGTCCTGCTACCTCCGGGCGGGGAGCAGTGCTCTCACCAGCACCCAATCAGTGCGCTCGCCGAGTCAATGACCGCGTTCGTCCCGCCCCCTCGACGGTGATAAAAGCCGCAGCGAAAGCAGTACTCTGGACTAAGGCGCGTGGTTCTGCACCCCAGCACCTTCCGCTAGGTGTGCTGCTTCTCTCGCTCCTCAGAGCGTGGGTCTCACTGTCCCCGCGGTCCGCAGCCACACTAATTCCTCACCCTCTTCAGCCCGCAGTCAGAATTGGCAGAACTGCTTTCCAGGCTTCTCTCCCTTCCCTCCTTTTCTGTCTTCCTCCTTAGCAGTCGCTTTACCTCGCGGCTTTGGGTCGCTGGCGGGCCTGCAGGTGAGCAGCCGCGCAGCGCCACTGTCTGGCGAGTTTACCTTGCACAGCTGGACTCGGGCCAGAGCAGCTGCAGCAGCACCACTCCCAAGACTCGCTCTTCCTTGCAGAATGAAGAACCCGATGCTGGAGGTGGTATCCCTACTGTTGGAGAAGCTGGTCCTCTTCTCCAACTTCAGGTTTTTCAGTTTAGACATCCCGGGAGAAGAGAAAGGATGGAAAAAATTCTATGAGGTCAACTGTTTCCTCCGCGGCGACGTACTGGAAGTGCCCCGGACCCACCTGACCCACTATGGCATCTACCTGGGCGACAACCGTGTCGCACACCTAATGCCCGACATTTTGTTGGCTCTGACCAATGACAAGAAGCGCACGCAGAAAGTGGTCTCCAACAAGCGTCTCATTCTGGGCGTCATTGGTAAGGTGGCCAGCATCCGCGTGGACACAGTGGAGGACTTCGCCTACGGAGCCGACATCCTTGTCAATCACCTGGACCACTACGTCAAAAAGAAGGCTCTGCTCAACGAGGAGGTGGCCCGGAGGGCTGAGAAACTGTTGGGTCTGACCTCCTACAGCCTATTGTGGAACAATTGCGAACACTTTGTAACTTACTGCAGATACGGTTCCGCGATCAGCCCCCAGGTCGACAAGGTAGGATGTGTGACTCTAGGGAGTTGGGCTCGGTGGGGACGCCCCCCACCATCTCTCACCTTTTCTCTTCCCTAGTAGCAGGAATCTTGTGTACTTCCCCCACTATTTCCACACCATTCACCATTTTTAAGAGTTCTAGATTAAGTAAGGAAAGCTCTGATGTTTCTAAGGGAGACAAATTAAGTAAAATAAATGTCGAAGAGCCTTGCAGGATATGCTCAGGAAAAGGCTGTGGCCATGCAGGACCGCTTCCAGCAAATCCAGAGAGCAGCCCTGTTATTGCTGCAGAAGTCATCAGATATATACACAACCATAGTAGTTCAAATGACAAAGAGCAAGTGGCTGAGGGGTCTCAGGAAATCTTTTGCAGGTACTTGCAACTTTTCCCAAGAATTGCAATTGGAAGGAAGGTGTGTATTGTATTTATTTAATCCATAATATTATAAACAAATTGTGTGCCTTTAAAATAAGGAAGTGTGCATATTTCTCCCTCTGTAAGCTTTCTGGAGTGAATTCCCTTAGCTTAATATAAACTACCAAAATGTCCTGCTATTAAGAGGACATCCCTGATAAATCCTTTATTTCTGTTTTTTGCTTCAGAGAAGTTTTTTCCTTGTACTGTGAATCTTTTCCTGTATTGACTTTAATCCCCATCTAACTCCCTCATTGTTAACCATCCTTTATCCATTAGCTCCAAAGATAGTTAGGGCATTTACAAGTTCCCCAGGAATCAAATCTATTGATTTTTCAAAAAGAGCTCTTTAAATGTTAGAAGGTAATTTTTACAGGTACTTTGCAAAAATAGTATTACAATTTAAGATTCTTAAATGAACCACAAATCCAAGGGGGTCAGATTGTTTTCTTTTGGAATCTCTTTAACTTTTAAAGATAGTCAACATTTTAAGCCTCCTACTTCATTTGCAATTGGAAGCTTTCTCAGCCTTCACTGTAGTTGTTAAAGAGGTATTGTTAATATTCACTCTTCTTAATGGAAACCTGGGTGAACACACTCAATGAGTTTTCATATTCCTGTTCACATTTAGATGAAGAATCTGAGTAAATATAACCGCATCTTAGATTTTTAATTGCTCCACATCTTACTAATTTTTTTACCCAAATGGGAACTCCCTGCCCCACAAAGCATGAAAGTATTATGTTTTTATACATTGGTGTATGAAACCCCTGTAGATTTTTTATAGAGCTCAGCCTCAATCTAGGAATTCTTTCCCAAGCAAAATAAAAATACAGTTAGAACACTGTGAAATGATTCAAGAATCACAGCTCCAGTCCAGGCCTGTTTAGAAATGAACTTGCCCACATTTACAAACACTGTCTCTAAAAGTATACAAAAGGAAACACGTCAGATTTACTTAAGAACCAAGCAAATCATTTCTCCAAGGAAAAACAGTATTTCTATCTAGTAATTAGGAGTTACTTCTTCAGGGAACACATGGAGCACTGTATTATATATTTCTACAGAAACAGAGTACAAGTGCTTTTTAAAGCTAGTAAAATAATCTGCATAAATAACTAGTTGTAGTAGTTTTTCATCTTTGGAAACTTTGTCAGGTTTAGCAGCAGTGGAGAAGTGTTTTAATTACTGTTGCTGCATAGCACCTCTTGTGAAACTGAGTTTTTGTCTTCACTTTGAATGGTCTAACAAACAATTTTGGCCACAGACTAGATTTCCTCAGGGGGAAAAAAAAATCTTCATCCCCAAATTTTCTAATTCTAAGAACTGTTTTTTGAACTTTCCCAGAGAGAAGTAGGCCATTCATAATAAAGAAGTTCTACTTTTTAGAAATATAAGGAATTATTTGATTCTGGATTCGATTGTTGAAGTCTCCATATTCAAAGCTATTATCATCTTAACATGAGCGTGTTAAAGTGGTCTCTTACTTAAATTCATGTTGGAAAAAAAAAAAAAAACACACAAAACTCTCCCAAAGGTTTTCCCTCAGAAAAACACTGCAGTTAGTTTGAAAATGAACTGGGAAAGAACCTTTTAGTTCTTTGTGATAAATTCTTTTTACAAGTTTAGAAGCCATAAAACTAAGAGATTTTGATATTGCTTTTGATCATCAGGATTTTGTAAATCATAATTTTATAATTATACTTTATAAATCCTTTTAGTTAGTAACTATTACAATGCCTTATGCTTTTTCTACTATGATTTTTTTTTTCTGACTTTGCTAATACTGGTTTTTTTCTTTGCCAAAATGAATGTGAACAGAAAATTGCTCTACATCTTACTAATTTTTTTACCCAATGGAAACAGAAAATTTTTCATTTTCTGTGAATTCAGCACTCACAAAAGTGTCCCTACAGGCTTCTTGATCCCTTTCTAGAAACTTCCTACTGTTTAGTACCTCTAGAGATGCCTCCTGGGCTGATGGCCAACTGAACAAGAACTGGAACATTAGAAATGAAATGCTCTTTGAGAGAAACTGCTTCAGGGGAGAATTCGCCCCAGTTCTTAGTTTGCCTTCACTAGTAGGATGAAGAAGAAGCAAGTATAACTGTATCAGGACAACTTACTTACCTAAATATGCCTTCTGGTATTTCCAACCTCCTTTTCTAACTGTCCTGAAAAATTCATTCATTTTGATCATCACCACTTTTAAGACAATGTACTTATTAACTAATGTTTTAGTTTAGTAGAAAAGAAACAAATCAGGGCTGAGGTTGTGGCTCAGTGGCTGAGTGCTCGCCTAGCATGCATGAGGCACTGAGTTCGATCCTCAGCACCACATAAATATAAAATAAAGATATTGTGTCCATCTAAAACTAAAAAATAAATACTAAAAAAAGAAAATAATTGTTAAAAAAAGAAACAAATCAAATGCTTGACCTATAAATAGATCAACATCTGGATGATTAACAGGATGTTTCTCTCTTAAATAATATGTAAAAGTATGAACAGGGATAACTATGCACAGTTAAGATAGTATGTTAAAATATACAGTCATTCACTGAGAACAAATTTTGAATGGATCACTCCTGTGAGGACAGAGGATATGGCAGTAATGTATCTGTTCACCACAGACTTTATTTCCACCAGAAGTAAAATTTAGCAGTTTTATGCCTCATCAGTTCTGTGTTTAGGAAATATATCTTGAAGGAAACATAAATCTAGAAAACTACCCTGTTTTCTAGTTGACATCTTTCTTGACTTATTTAAAATAAATGAAAATCAATAAACAATTTTTATCATTGCTTAAAGTCTAAAGTGGAAATTATTTTTTACTAGCATTGACTATTAATATCTTTTGCTATCTTATGAGCAATTTAACAGAAGACTTAATGATTATTAAATATGAACCGTATAAAATTCAGCATAACAATCTATGATATAAATTATAAGAAAGAAACTTCACATTAGTTTTGTAGAAAAGAAATACTTAAAATGTAATTCATTATTATAAAACTTGATTAAGGAGCATCTCAAAATCCCATGTAATGTGAATTTTATCAATAAAGGTCAACTAGGAAAAAATTTTTAAAAATATACAGTCATGCATCCTTAATGACATGAGAAATGCACAGTTAGGACATGTCATCATTGTATGAACATGATAGAGTATACTTACATAAGCATTATCATCTTACTGGGCTATGTTCTATGTGTGGTCAGTTGTCAACTGAAATGTCACTATTGTGACTCATGACTATATTGAACTTGTTTATTCTCTCCTTTAAGAACTTGGAAACCAGCTGGGCAAGGTGTGCACACTTGTTGTAATCCCAGCAGCTTGAGAGGTTGAGGCAGGAGGATGGAGAGTTCAAAGCCAGCCTCAGCAAAAGTATGGCGCTAAGCAACTCAGTGAGATTCTGTCTCTAAATAAAATACAAAATAGGCCTGGAGATATGGCTCAATGGCCGAGTGCCCCTGAGTTCAATCCCTGGTGAAAGAACTTGGAAACCCAGCTGTGGATGCAGCTCAGTGGTACAGTATTTGCCTAGCATGTGCCAGATCCTGAACTTGAGCCTCAGCACTGCAAAATAAATAAACAAATTAATTAATATGGAAATATTCCCAAGGCTTTTGGAAGCTAAAACAGGAGGATTTTTTTTTTTTTTTTTTTTTTTAAGCCTCAATGTTCTAAGCCATCTTGGTCAATATAACAAGAAGAAAAACTTTGGAAACCTCACTGTCCAATACTCTATAAGACACTATAAGAGAACTTTAAATCATATACAATGCCATGTTCTGGAACAAGAGCTTAAATCTAGTATGAATAGAAAAACTCTTAAAAAATGATAATCGTTAAATTCTGGCAGTGACAATGATGAGGTAGAGATTCTCAACAGTGATAATAATCATTATAATACTTTACATTTATATAACTTGTAGAAGAATATAAAATACACTGTTGCATAGAAGATCTCATTTGATCCCCACAGTAGCCATGGTATTTCTATGAAGAGGAGTTGACAGGTTAAGTGACTTGTGTGAGATCACATGGTCAATAAGAGGTGGATTCAGGAATTCAACAGAGGCCATTGCTTCCAAGTAAAATGGTTTTTCTAAGAAAAAACTACACGTTAAGAGAATGCATTACTGAAGGTGATTTCCAGTAACCAATTTATGTGTGCATATAATTGATGGTGAATATAATATATTTAGACAGGGAATGGGATATGACAACAAAATGAGACTAATTTTATGCCTTCAGATTTTAAGCCTTATATAAAGTTATTACTGACATTGAGCATATTTAGAATGGTGAATTAGAAAAACTGAATTCCCCCTAACAATAAACTTAATTCTGTTTTTTTACACAGTATTAGAGATTTTTCTTATGTAATTTTAGAATATGCTATTAATACTAACAAGTATTTGAATACTTTTAACCTTTCATCTTGAATAACTTTTAGCTTTCTGTAAAATTCTGTATTTTAAAATTTATTAACCTAGTTGTTTGTTGTAATATTTCACCTATTCAGGATATAGAATCAAGAAACTGAGTTATCTACATTTTAAATTTTTTTACATATCACAAAGGAATTTCTAGTTCTCCTGGTAGACAGAAAATAGTTGTAAAAACTGTTTTGCTATTTGTTATATGTGATTCTTTTAGGTTTAGCTACCTTTCCTAATATTCTTAACTTTTATTTTCCAGTTTTTTGAGATGCTGAAGATAATTATTCGTGATCAGAGAAGTGTTCTTGCTTCAGCGATCTTGGGATTGGTGTCTATAGTCTGCATGGGCCTGGCATCATATACTACCTTTCCTGCAATTATTATTCCATTCTGCTTATGGATGGTTGCCTAATTACATGTCCCCACATTAGTGTGTATGTATTCTCCAAGTAAATGTATTTATATTTATAGAGCACAAATCACTGTAAGCCTTGTAAAAAAAAAAAAATGTGACCTGTAACCCTGTGTTCTGGATAAAAATGTGATTAAGAATCACACCAAGTGCTTACCATGTAAGCCCAAGAACAAAGGCTTTCTGAATCTTCTCAGGCAGTTCTGTTGCAAAGCACCATCCAAACCTTGGAAAAGTGACAGCTTGTGATAGAATTTGACAGTACAAGAAAATCAGCCCCTAAGGTGATGATGGCCAGAGGAGATTATTTGTGTTATGTTTTTCTTCTGCAATCATTGTTGTGAGTCTTGAATTTGAAGATTGGAAGACTTAACAACTGTGATAATCAATTTAATGTAAGTTTATTTTGTTTTATTGAAAAACTTAACATTAAACTGAAAGCATTTTCCAAATGCAGATGAAAACATGTTTGATGATTGGCTTAAAAGAACCACCACCAAAACACAACGTCCTTTTTCTTGCATATTATATATTATCCCAAGCAAGTCAAGAAATCTTATTTTCATTACTTGAAACCATTCTAGGCAAAGTTAAAGTTTAATGAACAAGTAACTGACCATTAAGTGTGGAAGTCTGTGTTTTCCTAAAGAAATAGCTATAATAGCATTAAATCTGATTTGATAATTTAATCAGAAGCCTGGCATTGATAACTTTTTCCTTTTATGTGTCAATATTGTTATTTTAAATCTGAGAAATAAATAGATATGGATTAAAATAATTTGGATATTGGACATATATGTGTATATATATATCTCAAATGTATTTGGAGATATCCACATATGCACCAATTAAAAGACAAATTAAGTTTATTTTTGATTGCTCTATTATACTGGTGTGGTTATTATAGGGTATCTGTTGAGGTGAATATAAAAGCAAGTCCAATCTGTTTTCTTGTGCCTTGAACCTATAGATATATGTGATTGATTGGTTATCTATTGAAGCCTTTACCAGTAATGTATGGTATAATTTTTTTACAGATTTTTTTTTCTGGTCAGTTGTCTCCATTTCATTTCTAGCCATACTTTATGTCCTTAAAATAATGATGCTACACCAGAATATAAAACCCAAATAAGTAGGACCAAAGGAAATTACTGGGTGAAATAATTTTGAAGTGTCTCCATGCTACCTAGCATGTAAGTTGATTTCACTGCGGCTGTTATAAAGGTGGAGACACAGCAGCATTAAAACAGTCCCGAGGCATTTTTGCAAAATTACCAGATTCAAAAAATCAATCACAAAATAGATTGTATTTCAACTATTAAAGTTGCTTTATTAATATTGAGAATCACAAAAAATAAATGATCAGGACAGTGAGGTCAGTTATTGATCCAATTAGAACAAATTTAAAGAGCATATTTTAGTTTAACTGAAGTTTTATCACCCTTAATTTTCCCACACAAATTCAGTTGTATTATAATATTAACTAAACTTTGTGTTTAATTATTCAATTTAAGTGTTTGTTTTCAAATTTTTAAAATTAAAACACTTAATGCCAATACCAAAGAATATGGGTGTTCTGTGGGTCTATTCCATTCACTTAAAGTTGTCTTAGGAATGTATGCAGAATATCAACCACTATGAGAACCATTGTGCTAGTGGTTTTTCACTTCTTACCCTTGTATTGATTGTTTAAATAAATTCATTTCTTCAAAATATAATGTCCTCATAAATAATTAACACTCTTTTGCAGCCTTGATTATTAAAGGCAGGAAAAAAAAAAACACTGTTTGAAATTAAATCTGTGTTCAAAGATAAGGAACTTTTTATTTTATTTTATTTTTGTATCAGGGATTGAACCCCAGGGGCACTTACCCATTAAGCCACATACCTAACACTTTTTATTTTTTATTTGGATACAGGGTCTTGCTAAGTTGCTTAGGACCTCACTAAATTGCTGAAGCTCCCTTTGAACTTGTGATCCTCCTGTGTGTGTCACGTGTTCGCCATGTGCAGGGCCAACAAGGAAATTCTTAAAGTTGGAATTAACATAATTAGTCTTGACTCACTTCATACCTTTAACCAAGCTTTAATCCATCATTCGAGTGCTCATTGTGTGCTAGGCACTGAACTGTTGTAACTTCATGCTCTAGAATTAATATTGTTTTAAAACTAGCTGCTATAGAGTATACATAGTACTATGGGAATAGAGGAGAAAAAGCAAGTCAATTTGCCTGAAAGGTCATCTTATTTGAAGGAGGCAGTGCTAGGCATGAAGCTGAGAATAGTATGAAGTGATCTTATCACACTGATAAAGAGGGAGCAGGAAGGAAGGTTTTATTTATTTAATGTTCCCCAACACAAGAATTGTTGAACTTCTTAGGAGAAAGGGAGATTCTTTGTTTCCTGTGCTAAGTTTGGTTGCTTAACAAGGTAGAAAGAGAGCATGCCTTCCTGATGATGGCAATGAAAAAAACCTTGTGTCTCCTAACTTGAAGCAGTTTATGAATTTCTATGGACTTAACCACTTATGGTTCATCCTTATGATCCTACAAGGCCCTTATATTTATATATTTCTATTCTAACTTGTAAAATCATAACCGGGTAGTATCTGATGGCATTTCTCATTATTAGTTTGTTCTTTGCCCTAGATGAAAGTTGAGAGAACTCGTTGGGGCTTAGATGGGTTGATGCAAGTGTCAGGCACCAGTCATGTGTTAAGGATGAAAAGATGCAAGAGATGTGTATCTTTAAAGCTGATGGCCTAGTAGGCAGAGACTTTTGGCAATTGACATCTGAATAGAGCTAATTGAAGGCATGGAAAGAGAAGTGGTTGGGTTTAATAAATGACAAGGCCAAAATTATAGGAACTGAGTAGTGCCTTGAAAATAGGTGTTTATATTTCCAGGAGACAGATCTTGGGCAGGACATTTTACATGCTGGGAACAGCATACGTAAATGCATGAAAACTGCAACAACGTGGCTCATGCATAGCTGTGAGGTACTCTATTTTAATGGAAAACATTAAACAGCAAAGAGAATTCAGGCAATTGTAAGTGGTTCAAGGGCCAGAGCAGAATAAGTGTGGTGGGCAGAGATGTCAGGAAAGGAAAGCAATGGTCAAGTGGTCTAAGTCTTCTGCAGACCAAGAAGTTTGGACTTTATGTACAGGCAGTGGAGATTTGGAGTACAGAAAGGTAACTCCCAAAAATATGGTGGAAGGATGGAGGCTTGTGCAAGAATGGACAAGAGATTTAGCTTAAATCCTCAATCTCAAATAAGGGTCTGTAATTTCAAGGATAGAAAGCAAACAAGTCAAGGAAGTGCAAATAGACTTTAGTCAAATCTTTTCATTTTACTCATGAATAACTCTTGGTGGAGTGTTAGGGAGGAGTCCTGCACTCTCTCCAAAAAAAAAAAAAAAAAAAAGATTCCTGAAAAATAAATTAACTTGGTCACTATGTGTATATATTGAATACTCCTGGTCTTTGCTCTGCTAGAGATGCTTCTTTCTAAGGAAAAGCAAGTATGAATTTGTTACTTCAACTTTTCTTCAGAATACAGTTATAGTTCTTATTTTTTACATTTTACATTTCATACTGTTAATGTCAAATATAAAAAAAAATGTTTTCCAGCAATATCAAGTTGTGGCAGTGCAAAACTCTTTTGTTATGGATGAGAAGCATATGAGAAATAGTGGCCAATCTTTGTTTTATATGATCTATTTGGAGAGTTTTAACCCAGCCTCTGTCAGATAAACTAATTTTATATTTGATATGCATACATGTTGAATAAAATCAATTTTACATATTGTTCTCTCTTTTCTTTGGATTTAAAATACATAAAAGTAGGTCACAAATACTTTTTTTTGACATGGTAGTTCTAAAGAATATTCCTGTTTAAGCTTCCTTCTCCGTTTATTGAATATAGATTTACATGTCTGAAATAGAACTTTATGCAGATCTGCCTTCAGACGTATGTTATCTACATCTCAGAGCCTACCTTGATTATGAAGGCATGTGTAATATTAAACAACAAATCTCTTCTCCATTCTCCAAAATTAAGCAGTAACAACAACTAATGAGAGCTATGCTATAAACTCCGTAACCACATTTATAGTGTTACCAAAGCATCCTGCAGTGTGGGTGGCAAGGGCTGGGGTATGAGCAGGGCCATTATTGAAATGCATTTACAGGCAAGCACCAAACATTCCTGAACTGAAACCTTAAATATCTGAACATATTTACAGATGCAAAAAATCAGGCATAGAGGAGTCCAAGTGCTTCAGAGTGAGATCAAGAACTTGGCTGCAGAGTTCTTTCCACTATACCAAATAGGTCTTGGAGGTCTCACAGGAATTGGACAAGCCTTCCACCAATCAATGTATTAATTTCTTATACATTTTCTGGGTACTCTAAACAGGACCATAGGGCCACAAGAGGATGAACTACTTAGAATCTTTTTTTTTTTTTTGGCACTACTAAGAATTCAATCTAGAAGCGGTGTACTTCTGAGCCACATCCCCAGTCCTTTTATATGTTTTATTTGGAGACAGGATCTGACAGTCATATAGGCTGTTCTCAAATACTCCTGCCTCAGCTTCCCAAGTAGCTGGAATTAGAATTATGCCCAGCCAGCACTAGTTAAAATTTTAGTTGTATAGTTGCTTAGTCTAATGAGAGAGAATGGCAAGCAAATAGATTTAAAAGCAGTGGTAAGCTCGTACAAGTGTCAGAAAAGCAAAGACCAGACCTTTACCTGTCTGCTGGAGTCCAGCGAGAAGAATGTTAAAGGATATAAATATTGAAAGTAAAAAAGACCTCCCTTTTCTAGGTCATTCCAGGCACTCAAGAACAGTAAATACAAAGGCCCGGAGTCATGTGAGAATCCTTAACACTGTTGGTTTGCTCCAGGTCATTGAAAACAATGGCCTGTGTTTATTTTGCTGCTTTGAGAGATGGGAGCCAGTCCAGTCAAAAGGAACTCAAGGCAAGATCACCAAG